TTCTGAGACAACCAGAGCTGAGGTGTGGAACACAACTAAATGAGAATGAGAATTTAGTCGTGTTGCACAGGACTGGGTCGTGTGGAAGACCTTCAGGTGGCTCGTGAAGACCCACTTACACAGCAGAGCATTAACTGGAGAAATCTGAGTTTCTCCAGTAACTGCTCAGGGGTACAACAGGAGCGTCTCACCTGGAAAGAAGTGAGAAAAAAGTAAAGTAACGTCGTAGGCGGTTAATGTCAAACTGTCATCCAGGTAAAGAGCAGTGTCCCAGTGTCCCAGTGTCCCAGTGTCCCAGTTCGCTCTGGGAGATTTCTCTCCAGCTCATTTTTCCCCACGGGGAAAGAGCCACTCACTTCCTCATCTTGTAGACGCCCTTCTTGACGCAGCCGAAGTTGCCCGAGCCGAGCTCCACCTCGTCGATCATCAGCTGCTCCCTCTTCAGGAACAGCTTCTTGTCCTTCAGCTCCTCGGGGTCGCTGTAGGGGCTCTCGTACACAGAGGTGTCCATGGGGGTGGGCCGCTGGGGGGCTCCCAGCGCCAGCGGGGCTGCGGGGGCACAGGGAGAGAGCTGGTGAGCATGCAGTGGAAGGCGAGAGCGAAGTGGGGCGGGCGCGCAGTTACCAGTCCCCACAGCCTGGCCTGGTGGCTCTTTTCTGGCAAGGGGGTGTTTATTGGCGAACTGCAGGGCTCTGTGGTTTATAGAGGTTGACGATGGCAACCTCTGATGATATCTGATCTTATCATGTGTGAGTTGAAGCTGTCAGCTCAATATGTGTAAAACGTTTTTGGGTTGATTTACTTTGCCAAGGTCTCTTCTTTCTAAGTGTGCGGGTCAGAACTACTGTTCTCCAAAACTCAGAAATTGTCCCAGGCTTCTTCTGTCCACCACCCATCATGGACAATTGATTTGAGTTATAAAATTGGAGTGTACAGATACTGTACAGAATACATGTAAGGTACATACAGAATGCTATAAAAACCGTGCAGTAGTACATTTTGCTTTTGTAAGCTTCTCAAAAGGCTTGGGAACTTCATAAGAGAGGCAATGAAATTCAACAACACCAAAACACTCTTCTTACATGGTTTGAGGAACCTGTGGGTTTTTTGTTGATGTAGTCATTCTGTGGTAGGGTCACTTACATCCTGCAGCAGTTATTCTGCGACAGTTATGCGAGATCTTGTGCTTCCAAATATTGCCCATTCAAATTCTGTCCCACAGTTATAATGCTAGAGATTTGACATGCAAATGAAGTGATTAAAGTTCTTGCATCATGTCTTGAATTAACAGTGGTGCTAGAGTCAGAGAAGGTGTATACTTTTTGTCCTTGATTGGCAGTAAGAATCAAACTTTTCATGTTACTTTTTTCTTCATATCCAGGCGAACTGAGGCCTGTGGTTTGTACTATTTTTTTCTTTCCTTCTCCTATTAAAAGGCCTTTTAAACCCACAGAAATTACCAGGAGCATTGTGAGCAGCCCTTTAACTTCTCAGATACTGTTTGTAGACTGAATTATGCATACTACTGCATGAAATTCTGTACGTTTATTATTCAACACAATGCACACAATTGTGTAATTATTTTGCTTCAATTAACCCACAGCTGATATAGAAACTGCACAGAATATTTATCTTTTTATCACAGGCATCAAGTTCTCAGCATAACAAAAAAAAACTTTTACTTAACAACCTTAATACTACATTGCTTCCACTTGTGCATAAAACACACAGAGCTGTAATGTTAGATGCTCACCTTTGGGTGGCGGTGTGTATCCATTTGCTCCCAGTTTTCTCTGTAAGAGAGAAGAGGTTGATATAATTGTGCTCACATACAAGAACATGAACCAGGTCTACTTAACACGCAGCCTCTGCACTCTGTTTCACTGCAGTACTTTGATGCAACAAGCTCCTTAGTTGCTATATTGATTCCGCCAATTATCAATTAAATAACTGAGGAGCTGACTGGAGCAAAAACCTGTGATGGAGTGGATTCAAAGCGCCACGGGTTTCGTAGCTCTACCAAAGTAAGCACTTAAACATTGGTTTGAAATATAAGCAACTGCTATACGCACGGCTTAATTTGTTACGTGGAAGAAAACTGCCACAGAAAGAGAAAATTACGATACTCACAGCTGATGGAGGCACTGGAGCTGCCTGGGCTAAAAATGACAAAAACAATCAAATCAGTGCTCTTCCAGGGCAGTAGAAGCCCCTGATCTATTGTCAACAGGGCAGTCTTGAAACAGCAGGCAACAATAACCTTCTGGCTGGAAATTACTTGTCACAAATATTCACATTTACCATTATCTGTATTCTCTGTTGTTTTATTTATAACCGTCTCTGAATGGTCACCAGATTGTCTCTGTTTCCTTATTAGAACACATTTCTCTTTCTCCGCATCATTAACTAAAATAAACTCTTGGTAGACGCTTCTGGTAACCTAGTGGGGCTGAGCGCCGTTCTACTTGAAAAAGTTGTTGAAGACAGTTTTTTTTTTCCCACAAAAAGCTGCAGGGTCTTATGCCAGTATTTGTACAATTAATTCTGTACAGGCACTCCATGGTTATGTGACATTCTGTCCACCCCTTTTTCTAACCAATTTAGCCAGTTCAGAAATCAAGTATTTCTTTCTTGATTAAATGGAGTTTTCTCAGCTAATATTTAAAGGGAGATGGAAAGATAGAAAATTCTAGAACAACAAAAAAGAAACAATCCATACAGAAATAACTGTGGATTTAGCATGTAATGTCAAATAAGGATTATTTTATGCATCGAATTTATATTAGTTGATCATTACAACTAATTTAAATTGGATCAAAGTGGAGTAGCACTCCCTTGCGCTAGGCATTTTTTAAAATACGGTCGAATAGCTTTATAAAAAGCGGGTTTTAATCATCTGCTTCAAAAATGAGTTTATACACACTTGAGTACAGACCTTGGTCCTACAAAGCTTTTCATCACAGAAACGTGTGCAGCGTTAAACAGAGGGAGCCACGCAGCTCCAGAAAAGCTCTCGACCCATACCTATGGTGCAGTTGGGACTGATGCAGGGCTCCCGCAGTGTGTAGACAAGACCATCGGGTTTGAGTTTGAGATATTCCACCAGCTGCGAATTAGACATGAAGAAGAACTTCAGACGGCTCAGCCAACGAATACCTATGTTAATAAGTAAACCGCACCCAAACCGCCTACCCCAAACCCATAATCCCCCCTTATTTCTTAATTTCAGGACAAGAAGTTTTTAAATTCGTCATAGACTCAAAGAAGCAACACCTCCACTGTGTACAATGGCAGCAGGCACCACTATATAGTACGCTGACCACCCGGCCTGTAATTCTGAAGAAATACAACTTTCAGATCTCTGTGTCTTTGCAACGGACTTCCTGAACACATGTGGCTTGATGATTAGATCATGTAGGCTGTTACGTCTTTGCCAATTCCTATAATTGATCAGAATAGTTCAATATCTGATCAGTGTTATTTGTTGGGAAAGAGCGTACAACTTCAAAATAAAATGGATTTAAAAAATACAACTAGTGGCAGTAAATGCATATGAAGTGGAATTTTGTTGTTGTAAAATGTTAAACAGCACTGTCTGTTGTGATCCGGGGTCAGAAGCTGTTCTGTGTCGAGGTCTCTGGGAGATGTGGTACCACATGGTGGTGCCATGTCCTGGACTGCTCTGGGTGTCCTTCCTTCACTGTGTCAGTTCACTGATTAGGGAAGCCCGGTTACTATACCTGCCACACTGTGTCAAATTTGGTCCCTTCCGGCATGGAGTATTTCCCAGATTTATCCTGGATGATCTGATAATGGTAAGCTGTTTTTCCATATATCATGGACAAAGCAAAAGTTCCCGATTCATCCCGGTCCCTCACTCTGAGAAAACAAGTCAGTAAAAAAAAAAACAAGCACATAAAAACTTTTTGTTGTTTTCATTTAACATTCTTGGGGTTTTGTCCTAGTAAACCCGGTATGGTATCCATTTTTTGTAAGTGGAGAGGTGTGTGTGTGTCTTTGGCCTGAAAACATGAGGTGGATGGGTTTTAGACACAGGGTTGTTGTATCTTTGAGTTGTTCGTGAACATATAATAAAGATGGCTTGATGATATTATTAATTAATTAGCTACTGGAAATGATAGCACGCACTGGCCTTAAATTCAATGCCCTTACAGTCTGTAGCAGAATGGATGAATTTGTAGACTGATCTCAGTGTACGCCGTGCATGAATGTGTTTGTGTTTTGCACTCCCCAATAGTTGAGCTAGTGTGACCTGCTGTCACCTGCTGTCACATTACTAAGGGGAAGCAGCTGAAGTAGCGCCATTTCGCCCTGCTCTTGTATGAAATGGCTGGTGGAGACTGGCATGGCGGCTGTTACTACGTTGAGGGACGCCAAGACTATATTTCCAGATGAGGATCAGGCCCTTTAAAAGGTGCTCACTGTTCCCTTGGCTATGGTTTCTGTCTGCTGTCAAAGCAGAGCTCCTGCACAAAGCCTGCAGGGCTGTGGCTCTCCAGGATTGGGGTTGAAGTCTCCCCAGACAAGGGAGTGACCACAGAGAGGGAGGTAAAGGGGGTCACGCCCCCGAGGTGAGGCTCACAGGAATTTGCCGTCGGGCTGCACCCCCGAGTAGAGCCGCCGCTCGCCCTCCAGGCGCGGGATCTTGCCGTGGTACCAGGGCATCTTCTCGTGGGCCGTGGTGGCGATGAGCTTCTCCAGCTGGGGGGCCTGGCTGATGATGGCCTGCTCCATCGCTTCCCCCTGCAACGACACCAGAGCCGCTCACAGAGCCCCCGCCATCCCCATCGTCAAGCTGAGCCCACCGGGGCAGAGCTGGGCCTGGGAGGGCCCCACAGCTGCTGTTCCCTGAACCCACCCGCCATCCTTCAAAATGTGCCTTTCATCTGTCTCACTGCCTTTACTGCTTGTGCAGAGCCTGCTGTGCTCACTCCGTGTGCAGGGATCTGTGGTAAACGTCACTCTGCAGTGCGGAATTGTCCCTACTCCTAGAGGAGCCCATCAGGCAGCTGGACGTATCCATTTCTGCACGGTATCATCTTCACATCGACATACATACTTGTGGGACTATAGAAGGAACTAGTCATCCATGCAGTTGAAGCCAATATCCTGGCGTTCTTGAGGAAACAGCTGGATGAGGTCCTGGGATCAATTATCCTTGCAACTACGAAACAGGCTAAAGGAGCTGAATTATCTTTTCTCGTTTGTATGTTCTTATAATTTAAGTTTGTGATTGATCAGATTTTCTATGCTTTGTTATCTGTTTTGCTTTTCCAGACACCTGGATAAGGGCGTCTGCGAAGCAAATAAATCACAGATAATAGCGCTGCGCAGTGATGATTCAGATGCACATGTGGGACATTTTTGGGTTTTGATTCCAACTTTGCTCTTAATGTCTTATATGAATCAGCTTGTGATTGAACTGGACTTAATTTCCTCAGTGTTTCTAAAGACACTGTGGACAGTGATCACTTCTCTAGTGCGCCTCTGTAAGACTCATCTTAAGATCAAGGCTGTCTGTTTTTCATGTTTATGGAAATTGTATATATGCCATATGCTTGGATCGGATAATAACATGCTGCAACATTTCACAGTAAAACAGAAACAACAACTGCTGTTAACTGGGAATCAATTTCAATTAACGACACGTCATCTGCATAATTCCCTGCTGCGTGATAACGGGCAGATAAAACTGCACGAGACACATTTCATTCTGCCCACGGTCAGCGCACAATGGCGCCGCTCCGATCTACATTAGCAATTTCAAGGCTGGTTAATAAGTAAAAGAAATTGAAGAACACCTGGAATTAAAGGAAAGAAATCGGCTGCATTGCCTCCGTTCAAGCAGGACTGTTAAAAACAACGCGGATCACTTCTTTGTGTGACTTTTCTTTTCCACAGAGGGAGAGCTCCCAGCCCCTTTCCACTGGAAGGGCTCCAGAGGGGGAGGGATTCTGGGAAAGGCCGAGCGAGCCCGCAGCGCCCCCCCCCCAGAGAGAAAGCAGCCCCTCTCACCTCCAGGTTCCAGGTGTGCCGGACGTACTCGCGCAGCATGTTCTCCCGGAGGCTGTCGAAGACGCCGAGCTTGGGGTCGACGCCGGGCGGGCGCAGGCAGGGCTTGCGCAGGGTGCAGACCAGGCCGTCGGGGTCCTTGGAGTAGTACTCGCAGAGCTCGGCGGGCCCGCAGTGGGGCTTGCCCCCGGCGATGGCGTAGGTGCCATTCAGCTGGCGCTCCACGGGGTAGTGGTGGAACTGCACGTCGCACACCATGGACAGCACGTAGCCCCCCAGGCTCCTCAGGCACTGGCGCAGCAGGAAGAGCCCGTCGGACATGCCGGCCAGCTTCAGCACCTCCTCCGCCTCGGAGCGGCTGATGCTGCCGTAGAAGAAGGGCAGATCAGCGGCGGGGTCCGGCATGGCGTCGGCGGGACAGCCACCAGAGGGGGTCTTCTTTCAGCGATGCTCGGGACACGCGAGGCTGCCGGGAGCACAGGACAATCGAGTCGGTCGAATCTGCGCCTCTCGACTGAAATTAGCGACGGTCGGTTTCGCCCCCCTGCAGCCCCGCAGGGGTGAAAAGGTCGCTCCCAATCCTCGGGCCCTGAAAGCTGGAATGCGCTGGCGATTTCCGGTCAATCGGCTCAAGAGCTGACTCAATCAACTCGGGATCAATCAACTCAAGAACTCAGGAACGTCAGAGTGCAGGCAGAGGGAAATCCACAAGGCCCGCTTTGTCTCTCCAGGACCGATATGGAGAATCACTCTTAGCTCCCAGAGCAATGGCTTCTCAGACCGAAGACCAAATCGTGAGACCTCGTCCGCGGATGATAAGGACTCGCCCCTTCGTCGTCTCGTGCGTTAATGGAAATTTCTAGCTGTTGCGGAAGAAACAAGATCGTGTGGGCGGCGGTTAAGGCTGTTGAGATTGTGAGACTGCGCTGTTTTGCTGGTTTTGTGCGACATAAATAAAAAAACAACCAAGTGGCAGCGCAAAGTGGCCGCCATCGTCTGGTTCATAGCAGCCAGCCATGGCGTTCCCCTGGTTAAAGCTAAGGAACATGTTCTCTTGGATAACGTGGTGAATTTCCCTGAAGAAGCTCAACAATACCTAGGAAATCTGTATTAAAGGCGGTATGGGCATTTCTCGGCCACTGCTTTTCTTCTGCTGTATAGTGAAGCACAGCAAAGCAAATGGGTGGCAGAAGCTTTAGGAAGGATCTGCACCCTACTGTGCGAAAGAGTGTTAAACAAGTGCCACACAGTTCCACTCCCAGCTGGGCGGTAGGGATTGATTAGGAAAGAGAAACGTCATTCCCACCTGCAGTGATCACCTACTGCATTCGCAGCTCAAGCCCCCTGGTGTTGCCCTTTACTTCCTGAAGCAAGACTCAGAGTGAATACGTCCTCAAAATGGGTGACGCTGCAAATTCGCGGGTGACGCAGACACTGCTCTGTGGGCTGTGGCGAGAGGGAGAATGTTCTGGATAGGCAGTACTTTAGGGGACAGCAGGGGGGCTAAATGAAAAGAAAAGTGTGTTCCTCTGACAAAAATGTGAAGTCTTTTCTTGCGTGTGTTGCGCTCTGTGCCTGGGTCCTAACCTCTCTGCAGAGGTTGAGGTGCCCTCAATGTCAGGAGGAAAGTGGGGCGCGCTGTGTAGCGCTGTGGGAAGTGAGCGCGAGTGCAGGCCGGCACCCCAGCGCACACTGACTGTGCTCTCCGACGAGCGCGCCGAAACCACAGCAGGAAACCCAACGGGCTTTTGGACCCCTCCCCTTCAGCCTGTCGCTCTCGAGTCGCGCAGGTGTGATGCTCGAACGTTCAACAGACAGGCTCGAGACAGGGGCCATGTCAGAAGCCATCAGCCAACAGAGTCAGGAGGTAGCAACCAGGCAGAGAGCAGATTTCAGTTCACATCACAGCACTTTCACAAACCGCTCTTCCAGTTCAGGTTCATGGTGACCCAGAGCCCATCCTGGGAAGCACTGGGCAGATACACACAGGCACAAACTGGCACACACTCATACCAGGGCCGGTTTTCCCACAATCCACTTCGTCCCCCTGCGTATCTTTTCTCCGTGGGAGGAAACCAGAGCGCCCAGAGGATACTCACACGCACACGAGGAGAACATGCAATCTCCCGACCTCACCAGGGACCTCGGTGAAAAAACCTCAACAACTACGTCATCCCAGCATCCCACTGAGCAACATAATACGTTTTAAAGGGCTGATGGAGGGTCATAGGTTTTCAGTGAGGGTCATGGTTTCTGCCTTTTGCTCTATATTCATTTCATTACTTTCAGCTAAGTCAAGCTAAGCTAAGCTAAGCTATATTTAGGCTAGCACATGCCTTTAACCAGGACAATTTGCAGTCTTTACAAAGTTTAATGACAATTGTGGATATAAGTGGGTCTGATTTCAAGTAAAGAGCAGGTGGAATGGTAATGAGAATGGTAATACTGTTAGAAAGAGCAAGGCAAGTGCTGCTCAAGAACAGAATGAACAATGAAACACAGTGTGTAGCTGGTACACAGTGCAGCAGCAGCTACAAGCAGCTGGTACTGTCGCGACAGTGAGCGTCCACAGGTAGTTACGCAGTGGTGATGCGGACACCCGTGTGGTGCTGTGCATTGCTCAGGGGCGGGGCAGTCCTGATTTCTGCGGGTGGTTCGTTCCGCCCCGACAAGCAGGAAGGGAGAATTCTTACACTGTGGAAGTAGAGGAACACACATTTAGAACTCTTGTTCACAACTAATGATCTTGCAAAACGTAGACGTAAACGTAAACATAAACGCATTTCTATTAACGAAAACAAAATTATGTTCTTTTATCGATCTTATGTAAAGCTGCATAGATAAGCACCAGCACTCGTTATCTGAATCACATTTATTATTTATTGTGTATAGTAAGTGTTTATTAATTTGCTCTGAAATCTGACAGACTTCATGTCAGTGTTGACAAAGCAAAAGGCAGATTTAACATTACTCATCTGGAATGTCTAAACCTATCCAAACTTATCCATTCGTCAGCTCTTGACCACCTCATGCCCAAACAGGAAAAGTGAAACTTGTGCCAGTGACAAAGCAGATGAGCACACCTGGCAGTGCTGTCAGCGGGACTATGAGCTGTTCCTCACTTGGTTGGTTCACAGAGGGACGCAGACCAGAGAAAGAGAAAGACGCAGCTTCAGAGCAATCCTTCACCCCTGACTCCAAGGCCTGGCAATACCACTGAATGCTTCTCACTACTCACCTCCCATCAGAACACTCTTTTCCAGATGAAGTAACATTTCCCATTGTTGCTAGTTACGTTAGCAGGTGTCCCACTAGCGACACAAACAGTATGCGAACCCCAGCACTGGAAACAGTCTTTTCTTGGTGTGGGTTTTAACACTAGCAATAATTCCTGGTGGGCTAATTGTCTGATATGTTGAGCCAAGACTGTGGGGATTAGTTTGGAAAGGGAGGTGGAGAATTACTCATAGTGTGTCCTCTTATTTCAAGACTTCGTCTCTTTTTCCAGTGTAATCACTGAAGGCCCACAACAAAAAATCTTCCTCATCTATGTACGTTCTTTTCCCATTCAAAATGTTAAAGTCTTCCGCAAACTGTAATTGCTAGGAGCATTTCACAGGCAATAATCTGTCAAGTGTTCATTAGAAAGAAAAACACAGCTGCCGTAAAGAGAAAAGAACAGCTCCCTGTCCTTGAGTGGTGCCTCTGTCAGTGTTTCACTGAGGCCCGAGATGCAGACAGGCGGCGTCTCGCTGCTCTGACTTTCTAATCAGTCGCCTGGATGCAAACCGAGGAGACAAGAGAGAGGCTTTGCTCTTTTTTTTTTCCTGTGGGTACTACAAAATGTGTAAGACAAAAGAAGAAACAAATGCCAAAAAAAAATCATGCCTAACTGATAAAGACTTCAAAGATAAGATCGGATCACTTCATTGGCCGTGTACAATTTCTTGCATTAGGAATTTCACAAACCCCAGCTTGCTCTCCATGAGACACACTGACAGGGAGAGAAGCTGGGGGTCAGAGCGCAGGGTCAGCCATTTATACAGCACCCCTGGAGCAGTTGGGGTAAAGGCCCTTGCTCAGGGGCCCGATGGAGTAGGATTCCTCTGCCGGCCGCGGGATACAAACAGGCCACCTTCCAGCCACAGGCCCAGATCCTGAGCCACAGAGCCACCACTCTGCACAAATACTGTAATATGTACAGGTGCAGTAGATGAATACTTGACTTGAATTTCCCCAAGTGCATTTGCACCCCATTTTATGTTTCCAGGTCTGTTTCCCGGGAAAAAGCCACATTAAATAACCCAAATATTTCAGTATTGTGTGTTTCAGTATTGTCATGAAGACATTTTGTTAATTGCTGTTCACTACATTTGAGGCTTTCTATGAAAATACAGTACGTGGAATAAAAAACATACAGAAGTTCAAGGGAGGAACAACATATGCGTGACACCTGCCAAACTCACTAAGAAGCAAAATACCTGATGCCAGGTCCTAGACCACTGTCTCAGTTGTGACCCTCTAGATCTGAATTCTCCACTACTGCAATGCATGAAGGGACACTGTGATACAGCAGAGCGAGGCAACTAGAGACTAGGGTCAGGAATAATTGTCTATTGCATAACCTGTTACGTGACCTTATGAGTCCTACTGTATATTAGGCATTTGTCATTGACAACGCAAACCCCCTGAGACGATGTGTGGTTATGCCCAATTTCTGGGAAAGTAAAAACCTGCCTCATAGGTGACACCATGCTTCCTCGCAGTGCTGGGGCTCTGGGTCCAGTTTTGGACCTGTGGTGCTGTCTGCGAGGAATTTGTTTGTTCCCCCTGTGATCATGTCGATTTCCTCTGCGTGCTCCTGTTTCCTCCCACAGTCCAAAGACAGGCTGGTGGGTTAACTGGCTTCTGGGAAAACTGGCCGTGGTGTAACTGTGTGTGTGTCTGGTGTCACATACAGGTCTCCTGCCTTGTGCCTGTTGCTTGCTGGGATAGGTTCCAGCTCCCCTGCGACCGTGCACTGGAAGACGCCGTTAGAAAACGGACGGATGGGTAAATATTCTGGGAGAGCGGCCACTTGTGTCCAAGTCGTGCTGAGAGCGTAAAACAGTCTTGAACGATGCAAACAACGACATCCAGCAATCCACAACATTCGCACTTTTGTACAAAACGGGGAAACTACTTCGAAAAAGCAAACGAGAGCTGTCACAAGAAGACAGCAGTGGCATCACCATGAGATTGCTCTGGAGAGGCGGCGGGTGGGGGGGGTTGATGATTGGGCTGATAATGAATGGAAAAAAACCTGCGTCACAGCACACCGATACTGAAGGGAGAATTCAAACAGTCTGTCTCTGGAGAGGAAACATGTATCCTGAATCTGATTGCTCTGTGGTTCTTAGGACGAGTGCAGATGACGGAATCTCATGTTCTGCAACCGCAATGATCAAAACTCGACAGCTGCCACAGGTTAGAAAAAAAGAGGGTTCTGGTTCGATTTCAAACAGAAAACTGAGAAAAAAAAAACCAGACAAATAAAACCCCAGGGTTCTACGCAGTTGCATTTTACGGCGGCGTTTGAATGATTTGACTTTCTCTGCGTGTTCCCTTTTAGGAAGAAGGAAGAAAATGCAATTTTGAAAGATCTGGTGAAACCGCAGATGCTTTCCAAAATTGTAATAGGTCAAATGTTCCGTGTAGACTTGAGGGAGAAGGACCGCGTTTGCGTCAGCGGGTGTAGAATTTAATTTTGCTGCCTTTGGATGTTTAAATGTCAAGGTTTTTGTATGTGGGTGAGGGGGTAAGAGTTTGAACTATTTGTTGCTAATGAAGCGTCATTTACTCACACACTTCACATGACACGGTATTGCAATCTTTAGAAACCTTAAAGATTCAAGTCTGGAATGATACAAATCCATCATGGGCTCGAGAATTCAGTTTCCTGGTGGATTCATGTGCTCATCAAGGGAAACTGGTGCAAAAGGGACAGCTGTTATATCAAAAGCCCTTGTGTTCAATTTGCACCTTTTTTTTTACATGAAAGACCCCCCAAACTGAGCAATCCTGCCCTTATCTCACCAAGACACATCTTAAAAAACTGGCCTGTTACAGGGCCCAGCTAAACTCTTAGGTTAATTGCAAGGTTGTTGATTTCTTTACTTAGGCTCAATGGCAAGTTAAGGTATATGCTATTTTATGCAAATAGCATCCTAAATGGCTTTGCAATGTTCCTTATTGAGTAATGTAGCCAGTAGATAGGGGTTATCTTGGGATAGTTCAGCCCAAAGGCTTGGCTTGTTGTCCACATATATAAAATATATTAGTATGTATTACTATTTGTCAAGACGCACACACACTCCAATGTTGCCAAGCTGCTGGTGGGAGCTGAATGTTATTATTCTCTACAAATTTAAGTCCAACACGACCGTTTTTACTTGAAGCCCTGGGCTGAAACATCTAATTTCTACACAACACCTCAAGTCTGTGGCTTGATAGGAAGAGCTCTTCAGTGGCAGTTTATACTGTGAGCTTGTGGTCTCACCTCAGAGATTTGGAGGGAAAGGGGAGCAGAGGGTTTGTCACGTTCTAGAGAATCTACCATCCAATCAGTGACAAAGGATCCTGAGCAAAAGGCATTCTGTGTGCTGCCTCTCTGAGGTGTAGCTAAGGCATAATTTTATCTGGGAAACTGCAGCTTCAGCTTGAGAGTTTATTACATTCCCAAACCCTCAGAAGAGGAAAACAATGAACAGCATGCTAAATACAGCAATGGACAGATAATTAATTTTAAAGGGCAGCGGACATGTCTGTTATTGTCGTGAAGGAATCCTTTCAGGTTATATAGAGAAGCCCTTCAACCTTGTGTAGATGCACCTGTGAAGATGGCTCCCCTGTCTGCAGTTCTTTGTCACCTCTGTGGCTTTTGAGTGACCACAACATCCTGGCTACACCTTATTCATGTCACCCACGATGCAGTCTGAGACAGATCCCCCACCCACACCCACACCAAATCAAATGGGTCTGACCTGAGACACGAGACCTACACTCGCCACCACAGAAAAGAAAGCGGGTCTGGGAGAAAGATCTGTAGGAATGGAGCTCATCAGCTGTCACGATGACTTCACAAACGTTTTGTTTCTACTTGAACTTTGAACGTCTTGCTTTTTTCTTCCAATACCAAATCTGGATTATGTTTTCTTTTCCATCAGTAGAACATCTGGCTGCTGTTCAAAACCATCAGGTGACCCACTGGGGTCGTCTATAAAAAGACAAGAAGCTTCTCGTGTCCAGGTACAAGGCTGTTTATGGAATGCTTCGAAGGTTTTAATAATAATTAAAATTAATAATAATAATTGCTTACACTTAGATAGCGCTTTTCTGGACACTCCACTCAAAGCGCTTTACAGGTAATGGGGACTCCCCTCCACCACCACCAATGTGCAGCATCCACCTGGATGATGCGACGGCAGCCATAGTGCGCCAGAACGCTCACCACACATCAGCTATCAGTGGGGAGGAGAGCAGAGTAATGTAGCCAATTTATAGAGGGGGATTATTAGGAGGCCATGATTGGTAAGGGCCAATTGGAAATTTGGCCAGGACACCGGGGTTACACCCCTACTCTTTTCGAGAAGCGCCCTGGGATTTTTAATGACCACAGAGAGTCAGGACCTCGGTTTTACGTCTCATCCGAAGGA